AGTATACTTGCTTTTGTCTTTAGACTGGCTGCATAGTAGTGTAATATAGAAGTTGGGGCATTCCATGGGGGCAAAGCTGACCACTTCAGTGGGTTCCTGTCCATAGTGCAACAGTTGTCTTGAAGCTTTCTGTGTAAAATGACTATTTGGGATGAGACGTGGCTATAGATGGGGGTGTTGTACTAGGTCTGCATTGCTTGTGGTCACTAGATGTAAAGAACTTGGATAGTTCGTTAGAACTTTTTTGTATATGCTCAGATTTGAATTTTCACTTTTTGGACCCCCCTCTTATGTTCTGCTTGTAGTAAGATTTGCAGTTGGTAGATGAGTTCTCGCTGGCTGGATTAATCCCCCCCCCCCTTCTCATGTTTAGTTTTAAAGGAAGATTTGAAGTCAGATGCATTCTCCCTGTATATGTAATGCACCCCCTTTTTGTGGTGGGTATAGTAAGACATGAAGCCAGTAGATGATGAGTTCTCTCTGGTTGGGTAATGCCAGTGATTAGTCCTCACTGGCTGGGTAATGCATCCCATTCTGGTAGTAAGATTTGAAGTCGGTAGATGAGGTCTCACTGGTTGGGAAATCACCCCGGGTGTTTAAGATGTAGATGACTTCTCTCTGGGTAATGCACCCCCTTCTGTTAGCAAGACATGAAGCCAGTAGATGACTTCTCTCTGGGTAATGCACCCCCTTCTGTTAGTAAGACATGAAGCCAGCAGATGACTTCTCTCTGGGTAATGCACCCCCTTCTGTTAGTAAGACGTGAAGCCAGTAGATGAGTTCTCACTGGTTGGGTAATGCACCCCATTCTGTTAGTAAGATTTGAAGTCGGTAGATGAGTTCTCACTGGTTGGGTAATGCCAATGATTAGTCCTCACTGGTTGAGTAATGCACCCCTTGTGTTTTATAGTAAGTGAATTTCATGCTTAGAACATATGCCACCATTTAAGCTGCTTTCAGTGATGTAGTATTGGGAAAAGTTGCACGTTTCTGATTACTTTGGGCATGAAGGGTCCACTTGTTTGCCCATCCACTTCCCCTTCTGTGTCCACTATGTAACTGGGTAAAGATGAAGCAAGAAGTCCTGGACTGGAAGTGTTTCCTCCTCATAAGGAACTGCTAATTTGTAGTAACCTTTAGTACACAGGAGGCCTGCTAGAAGACTGCATACTTCACAGCTGTCTTACACCCCCATCCAACACACAACATATTTCCTGTACCATTTAATGGAACTGTAAACAATGAAGATGGCGAGTCTGTGTATTGGTGCAATGCTTTTGGTATACATATTTTTCTTCCCCCCATTGTAAACTGAGGTTTGCACCTGGCCAGGTTGCTGTTTTCCTCTTAAAAGCAATCCTATTTAGATATTGCAAATTACTGTTCAGGGGCTCTGCTGGGTTTCATAGCTGGCAAATATTCAGCCACAGTGGATTTTCTTGCACAGTAGGAAACTGCTTATGTGAGCAAATGTGAAATTCCATTCCTGCCTGTTGAGGACACAGGGAGACTCAAACCCTCATTGTGTGTCTTGCACAACACTTATTGAGGCTGCTGGAAAATCGCAGCAGAGTTCTTGGTCAAACCTTGTAGCAAAAATGGCATCTAGGTACTTTTATCTGGTTTGCGTAGTTCTTTACCCTGTATTATGTTCAGCATATTTAAAAATGTTATGGTCTATCTATATTTCTGTCCTGTAAACTAAAAAGGTTGTCCCTTGGCAGACTGACTTGGAAATGGCAATATCTGGAGTAACTTTGCTAAATGCATTATTAAAATTTTGTTCCTTGACATTTGTCTGCCAAACATCTAATGCTTCACATAGGCTAAAAAAAGTACATGTCTGTGGGGTTGTTTTTAAAATTGCCTGATTGAACACCCCTACTGACTTCTAATGTTTTTATATTGGGGTCATAGCTCAAAACTAAAACAATGTTCTGAATTTTTCTCCTTGCCAAAGTTTGTTTCTAGATCTCAGGGAAACGCAAGCTCATGTTGCAGAATGTGGGGTATAGTCTCTAGCAGTTTGCCAAAGCATTGAATAAGTTTGTTCTTGGCATCTGAAGATGGGTGCTGGGCAGATAATGGTGATATATTCACCAGACCATTGGAAAAGTGCTTTAAGATTGTGTTGCATTTGAAGAAACAAACCTGTACTCTGGCTGGGCTATCTCTGATGCCAGTGATTAGTGTGGCATTGGATTGTTGCCTTTGCTGTGGCTTCTTCACTGTACAGGTAATAGCCCCAAGGTAATTCATTTCTGCATATTATTGGTGATATTGGTTCCCCTTCCTTGGATAGCAGATACCTATCTTTAATTTAATTGTACATACGAGTCAGCAGTTCTCATGACATGTACACTGAGTTTTGGCTAGCTTAGTGTTCCAAACTTGCCCTCATTCCCCACCAACAGTTCATGTCTTATAAACGCAGGAAATCCTCAGTGGTGGTTCTTCTTGGTGCATATTTGTACACAGCCTAGATGTTTAGGGAACCATTTAATACGTCTAGTGTTTGCAAAACTAGCAGGTTGTTATGGATATTTAATTATGCAATGAAGAAATCTCTCTCCTATAGTTTACAGCCAACCTGTATGGTTGGCAGGGTAGGGTATGATGTGTTTCCTGCTACTGATGCAACATTGGTGTTACATTGGGTCTAGGTATTCCTCTCGCTAGAATTCAATAACTTTGTAGGTTATCTGGGGTTTCCATTGCTGACCTCCTTATGAAAACACTAGTTCCCTGGCTGGCATCAATACTTTTCAAACACTTGGTAAGCAGCTAGTGGAAGTCTGTTGGCTGTGCTGCATCAGTCACTTGGGTCTATGGACTTAGGAGATGAATGACTCCTTTTTGGATTGGGATGCAGATGGCCTTGTCTGGAAGTCCTCTCGTGTGAACGGCCATATTTTAAGGAAGCTGAGAATGGAGGCATACAATGTACAGTAGCGTATGCCCACCTCTTCCCTGGTGTATCGTGTAGAGATATTACAGTTGTAAGCTACTTTAGCTTAGGGCTACACTAACCATTTCTTTGCAACGTCTAGATTTCACTGCTTTTTGTGATCTTATTTACTTTGGTGGCACTCTTATTTGCAGCACAATAAGTGGCTAAATTTCAGTAGCATAGATTTAATTGCCTGTATAGCCCTAGCATCATGGGCAGGAATGCGAATGTTTAGTGTACTCTGCAATTATGTCCTATTGTATTTCACATCCAGCTATTCTAAATTGTAGGGTTAAAAAGCCAAGCGGCTGCTGCTAATAGCAACCAAATGTCATGCTTAAATTTACAAATTGAATCAAACATGAAATGTGACTGCTGTGGGTATTGGCTCCACAGTTTCTTGTTTCATGCATCCATTGAGTGTGACCATTGTTTCTGCAAAGTTACTTTTTCCAAGCTAAAGTCTGCTGTGCATATATGACTGGTGTATTTCATGGAACCCTTCCATGTGGAGGCACGGCCTAATTGGTTAGAAACAGTCCTAGCCATGCATCAGCAGTCTTTTTGTTTGGCATTTGTACACTCAGGAAGCATGCATTAGTTGCTGTGTATTTATTTTGTACTACTGCATGCAATTTTATGGCCTGTTCCAGCATAGCAAGATTTCAACAGCTGAGGCTTCAGACTTGTTCTGAAAAGCTGTTTTGTCAGACATGCAGTGTTGTGACTAGTGTCTAAGCTTCAGGAGAAAACTGCCATGCCAAAGGAGAACTAGTTGTCTGGGTAAATCTAACATCTCCAGTATGGAAAATTAGCTGGTTTAAAAGAGCAGATGTTAGGCATGTGTAGATTTTTCTTCTCATCCTTTGCCAATAACAAGTCATTTTAGGGGTTAATAAACTTTGCGTTTATGTTAAGGACATTTATTCTGTAGCCACATGTGAACATCAGTGAAATGCCTTGCTTAATGTGTAGATGTGGCTAACAGATTTGGCCTTTGTGTTGCTTGATGGGCATGTCTTGGGTTGTTGGCTTGATGAAGATTTTAGGTATTCTCTCCAGTGTGCTGCCTTTAGCATTTGTCGCCCAGCTTAGAATTAAATTAAGGTGTTTGACATTTCAGACATTTCATATAGAAGCTGAGCTTACATGAACAGACCAGATAGCAGTGTTTCTGATTTGTTTGGCATCAACTGCATGCGGATAACTAAAATCCTGTATTGCCATTGTTGAAAGCAGCATGTCTGCTATAATGGGGAACAGCTACATTGTGCTGTTCTGAATTGTTCATGTTTATTACCCTTGTCAGGTAACTTTTTTAATTAATGGGGTTTCTAAGATTTCGACCCAAAAGTTACTTTTTTTTTTTTAGTTTTCCAACAGGTATTTATCCCATAGATGCTGTTTTGCTAAATGTGTGGGTTGCGGGGCTCCCCCAACTCCCTGGAGTTTGTCCGTACATAAAGCTGGGCATTACCCCTTCACCTTAGTGTTTCCACTTTTGCAGAGGTAGACGGTTATGATGATTTTCACTTACCAAGTATCCTCATCCTTTTTATGTTAAATGGTCCTTATTGCTATACATAGAAGTAATCCTGTTTTCAGCCTCCTGTAAACTCTTTACTAGCAATTAAAATTCAACCTCTCCTCTTACTGCGTGCTTTATCATGTATTGCTTGCAGCCAGTAGTCTAGCAGGCTTTCATAAGGTTGTAAATTGAGTTGCTGAGATTTTTCCAACCTTAAGCGCAAATTCTACCATCCGGTTGGCAAAGCTGTGAGTTGAACTTTCAATCTATGGTTACAAGATTACTAATTGTCGCTGGGATGGTGGCGGCCTCTGTAAATGGCACTAAACTTCCAGCTCTTGGATCTCTATGCAAAGTGCTGTAGGCTGCACCTACATATTGCAAATGGGTTTTTTGAAGTCGGGCCTGGACAAATCCTAGGAGGACGGTAGCCAATGATCCTTAAATGCTACAGTTGACTTTTTTTTTTTTTTTTAAAAGGTTTCTTCTAGTTATTGCCAATGGAGCTGGCTCCTGAAATCCATATTACCGTAGTCTTCCCTTGCTCTAACTACTGATCTTGGAAAATGACATAATGTCTAAGTTTATGGTTGGTTGAAAGCTTCTACATAGGAATGTACAAGAATGGTTTAGTAAATGCTATACTGGATGTAACAAAGCATTGTAGCTTGGTGCATATGAAAATGACTGTTCTTGGTTTTGAATGTTTGTCAAATAGTCAGCTACTTTTAGGAAGGGATGCTAAATACCGTAGAACCTAACTTCATCCAGCAACAGTCAAACGTTAACTTGCTTTTAAACTCTCCAACAGTTTTTAGTGGTTTTTTTTTGTTAGACATCTTCCCCCTCCCTTCACCACCGGCACACAGCAGACACAAGTCTGTAGCCAAGCAAAAAACATTTTAGCTTATGGGCTAATCATTAGCATTTGAGAACCAGGGGATTGTAAGAATAACGCAACTTACTCACACATTAAAATCACTTATTGGGTTTAATTCGTAGCTTTGGAAATTTTATCTCTAAGATGCAGCAACTGCCATCATGGGTTTATAGCAATAACATGTATGTTAATATGAGTTCATCCACATAAATACCAATAGTTAATGCTGCCTTACAGCCTCCCCATCTGAAAGTGCCATGTGAGCTCAGGCAGTAGTTGACAAGCCAGAAGCAACTTGTGACTCTAATTCTCCAGCTGACTTGTTTGGCTCAAAGTAAAACTCAACGGGCTATTCACAAAAGGGTGAAGAGTGTGCAGAAGGTAGAATTGGACAATCTAGGCCAAAATAATTGAACTGGAAGGTGAGCTGAATTGGAGGATTGTTCCAAATTGGCTACGCGAGTGTAGATCACTTCTCCAAACTCTTCACCCTTTGTGCATAACCCTGTAAACAATTGATATAAAGCAAGGTGAGATCTAATCTCTCAGGTTTGCAGAATTCTAAAAGACTAAAGGTGCCCATACACCTTACAATTATCTGCAGATTTTCTGTGGTCAGATGGAAAACGTGCAACAGATTGTCCCAGGTGGAGATTACTCCATCCACACAGTTAAGTGTAGATGGGGGAATCTGTTCCACCTTTTTCATCGGACCATAGAATCTGCAGATAATTGTAAGGGGTATGGGCAGCTTTAGAGGGGAATTAAAAGTGGAGCAAACAAAATCTGGAGCATTTTCAAATCTTAACTGGAGAGAAGCTGATTGGTTGCCATGCACAGCTGCTCCAGGTTTTAATAAATTCCCCTCTAAAATATTTGGAATTTCATATAAGATTTGGACCAGTCTTGAGTCAACAGTTTCTTGCATCTGTTGCTTCAGTGGCAAGATCTGCACTTCAGCTGTAAAAAGGGCTCCTGCTGGTCATTTATAGAATGGAGTAAAAGTATGTTTGTGCAGAAGGGTAACCTCCTGTCTTCAAGGTGGAAGGGAACAGAGTAAATATTTTTGCTATTCTCATATATTGGAAAAACACAGTTGCTGAACTTCCATGGCTGATTCAATGATTACTTTATTTTATAGAATTTCTACATTTGTGTGCATACTTATTGCAGTGTACACTGAGTAACCTTGTATCAACCAGATCAGTAGCATAATTTAGTCGCCTATCAGGTTGTGCTTCCTGTTTGCAAAAACTCTGCAACAGTTTTGGGATTATGTATTTCTAACCCACTGCGTCTGACCGAATCAACACTTTTCACTCCAAAACAAATGGAGTTTGAATTGGTCAGGGGCAGGATTTCTTGTGTTGCAATACTACTTGAGGTGCTGGGGGAAGAATTCTTGAATAAAGCTGCAATATAAAATGTCTCCGTGCTCCAGCTTAGTAATGTCTTGATGTGAAATAGAATTTCTAACCTGTCCTAATGTGGGGTATTTAGTGACTTCTATAATGTTATAAATGTGTAGTACAAATGTTTCACTTTTAGGGGACTCTGTAGTAAGGTGTGGTGTGCCGATCAGATTGCTAAATTTACATTCATGCATTTAGTGTGGGATGTTTGTATTTCTCATGTCATGTTTTGTTGCATTTCAGGCTCTTGAAGTACAACAGTGGTTTCTGAACACCGAATGATGGCTACTCAAGGTAATGTTATGGAACAGAATGTTTGTCTGGAAATGATGAAACTACTCAGCAATTTGTGTAGAATGAAGAACCTGATATGATTTACTCAGTAGTTGGTAGTCTTCAAGGGATTATGTTGTGGCGATTTTTGGTTGCTACTATACCGGCCCCTTGCTTGATGTATTTTGGGGTGGATAAAGATGGTTGAGCTCTGGATTTTGAGTATTTTACATTTGCTTTAACATTGCATTTTTTTTTTTCCCAGTCCCGTTCCTTATCTAAAGTCCTTTTCCTTAACAGATGTAATGTAGTATCTACTAGATGTTGCATTTTTTTTGTGCACACACTTGTTCTGGCACTTGATGGCAATTGTGACCTATAATTACAGATGTAAGTTTAATATGGTTTTCTTACAAGGTAATGGGTTTTCTTTTTGTTTTAGCTGACCTCATGGAACTAGACATGGCAATGGAGCCAGACCGCAAAGCAGCAGTCAGCCACTGGCAGCAACAGTCTTACCTGGATTCTGGTATTCATTCTGGAGCCACAACTACTGCTCCATCACTGAGTGGCAAAGGGAATCCAGATGATGAAGATGTGGATACATCCCACGTACTGTATGAATGGGAGCAGGGATTTTCTCAGCCTTTCACTCAAGATCAAGTGTCTGGTAAGCTTGCCTCAAAAATAAATGTATGTATTTCATGTGTTTGCTGAAGACTGGTTT